GGTTCACCGGTATGAAGTCTTTTGTTCTAACCCTTCAATTCTAAATCGTCACATGAAGGTGAATCGGATGAATCCCACGTTATCAATTTGTTGAAGTATATGGGAGATTGGCCATTCGATCCCACCATGGTAAAACAATAATCTTATAATAATACCTTTAGTCAATACCCATAATCATTTAGAGAGTACGCCTTGTAAGCCTGCTGCCGTTGTGACTATGTATTCTGATGAAGCTTCTTTTCCGCGAACATGAAGAGCGACTTAGGATTGACACGGATGTAATCCACAACATTGCTCGCTTATTCGATGAGGACCTTATGCGGCTCCTTTGTGATCTTCGTGGTAATGAAATTAGCATTACGCCCAGCTTACTAGAAGCAGCAGCAGGGAACTGGGGAAGCGGTGAAGAAGTAATGCAGCTGCTTCTCAATGAACGCGGAGAGGAATTCCAGATTACCCAAGAGGTAGTAGAGGCAGCAGCTGGGAACTGGCAAAGTGGCGAGGAAGTGATGAAGCTACTCTTACATGAACGAGGGCAGGAGTTCAGAATTACTTCTAATGTAGTGAAGATAGCAGCAGGTAACTGGGGAAGTGGTGGAGAAGTAATAAAACTGCTTCTCAATGAACGAAGAGGAGAGTTTGAGATCACTCCGGCTATAGTAGAAACAGCAGCAGGCAACTTGGGGTGCGGTGAAAACATAATAGAGCTGTTTCTCAATGAAGGACGGGACGAGTTCACGATCACCCCTAATACGGTGAAAATCGCAGCCCAGAACTGGGTGAGAGGTAGTGAGGTGATGAAACTGCTTCTTAAACATCGAGCAGAGGAGTTTCAGGTCACTCAGGATGTGGTACGAGCAGCAGCAGGGAACAAGGGATGTGATGACGTATTGATGAAACTACTTCTCACAGAACGAGGAGAAGAATTCCGGATCACTCAATCTGTGGTACAGGCAGCAGCAGGCAATGATGGATATGGAGAAAGAATAATAAGACTGCTTCTCAATGAGCGAGGAGAGGAGTTCAAGA